GAGACCAAAACGAGAGTCGAGAGTCGAGACCGAGAGTCGAGACCGAGAGATTAAGAGGGATATCACTTGATGTCCCTCCTAATCCCCAAAAATCCCTTGATATACCTCAAAATCCCCATACTCGCTTGAATCCACTTGTCCACAATATATATTCAATGATATTCACATTAATCTCTTAAAATCCCCTCATATCCTTCCATATCCCTACAAATCCAACAATATCTTTTTGATCCATCGATGCACCCATCCCTTGATATTAAATTTTATCCTTCAGAATCCACAGTATCTAATATACCACAAACCACAAAATCTAATCCTTTAATCTTATTAAATTCAAATTTTTGCTGCATTTTTGGCGCCGCAGGCGAAAATTTTTTGAATTTTGGAGCTCAAGAAGCCAAATTTCCTCCATTTTCAGCGCCGCAGGCGAAAATTTTGAGAATTTTGGAGCTCAAGAAGCCAGATTTCTTCCATTTTTCAGCGCCGCAGGCAAAATTTTGGGAATTTTGGAGACTTTTCCTTAAAAATTTTAATATCAAAGTACGCAAGGTCCGAGTAAAGTTCAAAAAATTTCCGTCATTAGGGGTGTAAATTTAGTCTCGTTTTCCGAGACCAAAACACCGAGACCGAGACCGAGACCGAGAGCTCAAAAAACCCGAGAAATTTCTCGACTCGAGAGTCGAGACCGAGAGTCTCGAACATCACTAGGGAGCAGGATTCGATAATGACCGAAGTTACAATGGGAGCATACCTCCGCCCAGTATACCGCGCCCAGTATACCGCCGCCCATTATACCGCCGCAAAAATTTTTTATTATTTTGGCGGGGTATGTTAACAAGCGACGGGGGATGTTGGTCCGTCGAAGGGGAAAGTTCGAACAACATCCCCTGTCACAAGTTAACACCCGCGTCATTGAGTCAACATCCCCTGTCATCCCCCGCAAAATAATATAAAACTTATGCGGCGGTATAATGGGCGGCTGTATATTAGGCGGTGATATAATGGGGTGTACCCGTTGATGATACATTGGCCTCGCTGTACATCGATTATTCTAAAAACAAATATATATTCAAAAAAATTTGTCCCACTATAGGGAAGTGGTTTTCTGTTTCTTTAACCACGGAGCCTTATTTTTGAAATCAAAAACTCACTTAGTAAGCGTCTTAGAAAATTCATCAACATAAAATTTTATTGGTATCGCTCGATGTAATAATCTATTTAGTTGACGCTCCAGAACCTAAATGTTGTGGATGTACTATTTCTCGCAAGAAACGCTCAGTAAACTTTATGAAAGAAATTTATTCACGCAAAAAACGTGCAATGCGTACACCACAGCGTAAACCAGCTCGTTCACATGGTGAATCATCATCAAAGCCTGGTAAAGGAAAAGGAATAGCTAGAGAGTGACAATTAACAGAAGAAAATTGTGGACCTTGGTTTTCCATTATTTGGTTTGTGTTGAAAATTTACTCTTTTGCAATGGGATGGATGATGTTGGCTTCGTATTATTTTCCTAAGATGATCCCGCCATCTTAATTCAAATTTTTATGTTATTTACTTCCTTTATATCCATTGCTTTTTGTTTATAGTGGGATCTCTCTTATGTATACCATTTTATTTACTGAAGTGGGTTTTGATATTGTAAGGCCAGGTTCATCTTGAAATCACGTGAACAATAATGTCGCTCTAAACTTTGTGCGAAGTAACGGAAGTTCCCAGAGAAAAGGCAAAGAACGCCACAAACGGCCATACTCAGAGAGTTATTAGCCGCCCATTATCTAAGCTTAACATCGCCACTAACTTATCCTTGGGAAAGCAATAAGGAAGAGCTGGAGCATATAAGCTTTAATGGAATAGGCAAGGGCAGATCACTTCTTCATTCATCCAACAGAGTTGCCGGTCGGCCAATCCATCCAGTCTTATTGGGAAGACGTCTCCCTATATTCCCCCACTGCGAGCGATTACCTATTTCTATACTCTGTGGAGTTCACAAATGTTTGCAAGCATGCGCGACTCTGCCTACAACAACTAAACAACGAGGCACTGGGAAACGGGACCAACCGCTTTACTATATGCATAAATCATCGGTCTAGATGATCCGATTTTAGATTTAGAAAATTATTATGTCGTTGGATTCATGGTAGGGTTGTTAGACATTAGGTTCGTGTTATCGGTCGGTTTGACACCCTATCCCTGGTATACATCAAAGATGAATATGAAGAATACACATGTTGGGGTATTCAAAAGTGAGATCCAACTACTTGTCTGGGGTTTTTTTTGTTCCAGATCTGGCTTTATTGTTAAGCCAGTCTGGAACTTTTTTTCTCCCCGTACGCCTAATTTGTTGTAGTTATTGTTGTAGTTATTGTAGTTGTAGTTATTTGTTGTAGTTATTAATTTTGTTGTAGTTATTCCCGCCCCAAAAAACGTCGGAATTCCCGATTTCAAGGAATCTGGACACTACGTAGGATCCATCGTGTATATCCAGATGAGCTGGCAAATTTGAACCCTCGTAAATAAAATCTTTTGGAAATCTTAACTTAATGTTTTCTCAGACATATTTTGTATAGAGACAGTGATAGAGCCAGACTTAATTTCACAACATCTCTTGTTTATTTTTTCTCAGATTTCATAATTAAATTTATTCAACTTCAAAGGAAGTTTTTATTATTTTAAAATCTGCCACGAGTCAAAAAGGCTAGGGCGGTAATGCCCTTTTAAGTAAACAAGAGTGCAAGCATTCACTTAAGTGCAAGCATTCACTCACACCCTCCCTTGCAATTCTCCCCTTCCACACCTTCCCCTCAGTAACACTCCTCTCGTCTTCTCTCCTTCCCTCCCATCCACCGCTCTGCTACTTCCATTCCTCTCTCCTTCCCGTATCTCCTTACCCCCTCCCTTCTTCCCGCTCCCTGCATCCTCCCGTCTGCTCTCCTTTCTTCCCTACCTCCGCTCTCCTATTTCCCTTTTCTCCTTCCCGCATCTCTCAACATCTTCCCCTCCATATTTCCCGCTCCCCTCTTCATCCTCACTACACCCCTTCCCATTTAATGGCTATCTCTTCTCCTCTATTCTCCTCCCCTCTGTTTCCTTCCTCCTCTCCACCCATCTTTCATTTAACATTGATTAAATTGACATTATAATTTTAAATTGCCGATTAAATTATTTAATTAAAAATGCTATAAATCTTATAATTTAAGTTTTTATTTAATTAAATATTAAAATAAAAATAATAAAAATATTTTTTACATTCGTTCAAGCATATGTAAATTTAAGTAAGCTCACGTCTTCACTTTTTCAAGTCCCTATTGTTCCCGTGAAGAGGTATGAATAAGAATAGATTGCTGGTTCGCTCACTCTTAGACACTAGAGATCGAGTTTTTGAAAAGCCTGGACCTGTTCCTGGACTCTGTAGTTGATTTTTTGACCTGGACTGGATTCTAGGCCTGTAGTCCAGGAAAAACCCAGGTCCAGGAAAAACCCAGGAAGGTCAAAAAATGCCTGGACCTGGACTCTGGGTACAGGAAAAACCCAGGCTTTGGTCCAGGTCCAGCTCGATCTCTAATAGACACGACTAAAATCTCTAGTGGTTGCTTGCCATATTCTCAAAATACAGACAGACAGAAACAGCTCCAGGCCCTAAGCCTCTTAAGTATACTATAGCACATGCCTAATGAATCCTTCCGGTAATACTTCACTATTCTTAAAAACGGACTAGGATTTCTATGGTCATAGGACCATGTCCTGCTCGAATTTTTCAGGATTACTTTTCCGAAATTTCCAGAGATATCAAAGTTGCGTGATTGAGAATATCGGAATCAGCGTTTTAGCTATAATAGATCAGGGTCAGAGTTAAGCAGGGCCTGAGGTACCCTATCAAATATTTAATTAACAATTTAAAGTTGATATAATGCTTTACTTCAACTTATTTATTATTCTCCTCCTTCCAATGTTATTTAACTCCATTTTGTGTTCAAATGTCGTCAAACTCGCAATAAACAATGATTTCCAAACTACCCGCCAATTAAATTATTTAAAACCAAAAATTGGCGAAAATAAAATATTCAAATGTTTATTAAAATATAAAAAGGATAATAATGAATATTCTATACTTGGCGAGGAATTGAAAAGAAATAAACTTTTTGAGTTTAAAAATATCCCTAAAGGTTTTGAGTTAATCAAAGACTCGGAATTTTTGATTGAATTGCCTGCGCCTGAGATTCTGGGGGATCTTGAGCTTGAAGTTAAAAATCAGGTAATTAAAACGTTTTCTGGGTACTTCGGCATTTCTGTTATTTTTGATGAGACGAGGGACAGACTTTTGTAAATCTAATGCTTATAGGGTAAAGCTCGATTATACTAAGAGATTTTTCGTAGGAGCTACACGAGCTCAGTCGAATTATGTTAGTTCCTCAGTCGAATTATGTTAGTTCCTCAGTCGAATGATGTTAGTTCCTAAAATAATTTATGAAAGTCTATAAAAGCCTATGTCACAGATCTCCTGCTTAGGGTTAGCGGTTTCACAAAATTCATCGGATAACCGAAAACAAACTGACAAAACGAACAGAAAATCTTCGGTTTTTAGGTTCAGTTCGATTTGAAACCGACAAACTCATGATAAGGAGAAATGGGAAAGTTCTATAAGGAAAAAAAGATCGTCGCCGCGGTAGCTCCATAGTAGATCTCCTGTATGGGGATAGCGTAGGCCCGGTGGCTATACTTATGCTAAACTCTTACTATTCTAACATTTAAGAGAATCATTAGAAAATTACAATCTTCATCAAAATATAATACATTTTACAATAATATCCACCAACATTATTACTCAATCTCCCTTTTGTCTGATAATGAAATAGTAAAAAATAATGGAAAACAAGTTAAAGCTAACCAAACATATTTAACAAACAAACAGGATATAGACGAGCAAATTGATTTTTATCGCCGGATATATTTGGAAAGCATTTGGCATGAGCTTTATTTAAATGCTTACAATTATTATAATGCTTTTGAAGCTATTGGGCAATTTGAAGGCGATAAAAGTTTCAATTTCTATTCATATCTTGAAAAGTTTGAGTATTCCAGTGATCGAGTCAAACAACTTTATCAAGAGATTATAGAAAATGAGGTATATTTTATTTTATTTATTCGATCTGGCAATTGCGGTTTAATGTGAGATACACTCCGCAACATCCTTTGAGGGATACACTTCCAAGATACCCACCTGAGTTTAAAGATACCCTCCAAAATATCAGCGGTTGAAGATATCCTCCTGAGGGACAGCCATTAGAATACTATCCTGGTTATTTAAAATACTATCCTAGTCTCTCTTCTCCACCTATTATTCTCTTGTTATACCAACTAGTTGAAGGAACGGTTTAATCAAGCAAGTCATGCTCAGTTAACTTAAGGAAGAACATTCGTTATAATAGAAACTTTATCTTTCTATTTAGGCCAAATCTGACAAAAATCATGAGCTACATGTCACTAATAATAATGAAAATTTGCAAAATAACGTGAATAATCCAAGAAATGTTAACGATGCTAAAAGTTATATTGCTAATAGGCCTAAAATTAATTTTACTTATAAAAGAAGAAATAAACAATTGGTTCCGATAAACAGTGAATCTGAATATGAGCCGGGAGAAAATTCTGAGCAAGACGCGAATAATTTTGAAAACCACAATGAATACGAAAATGTAAACACGGAGGAAACATTGACTGAGAATAATGATAATTACACTGATAATGAACGCAACTTTTTACAGATTGTAGAATATACTAATGATCTATGTGAACGTTAGTTTTACTTTGTTGTGTTGGACTCTGTACTAATCCAAATCTCGACTCCGAAACCCGCCGTTTTTAGATAAAACCTCGATCTAGGCTTCGCGGTCGTAATACCGAAATATCTTAAAACCGACTTTTTTCGACCCAGAACTTTTCTACCTCAAAGGATGCACTCCGCCCAAATTTAAAACTCGACTACGAAAATCTCTAAATCTCGATTTGACTCCATGTCTAAATCTCGTAATACCCGAAACCGAATTTTTTGACCCTGAGCTAAACTACCTCGAAGGATTGTGGTCCAAACCTACTTTCAAAAAAATTCTTTGACTATTAAATAATTAATCGTTTATTTTAGCCGTACCATTAGAGATTGATTATTCTGGGTCCATCTATAAACTTGAATACGGGCAATCCAATGACGGCCAAGCTCCAGGTACATCTTATCAAGAAAATGTGAACGCCGATCAGTTTCCAAGTACATCTTATCGAGCAAATTCGGCGAAAGGAAAACATAGCAAAACTGAATTGAGGTTATAATTTAATTAGCCATATTTGAAAGTTTTTTCGGGCCAAAATGTTATCCGGTTCGGCAACCATAGTTATACATATTACAAGCATTTTCACGAACAGATTTTGAAATCCGTATCCAGATAAATTATTGTTTCTGTTATAACTGATAATCACTTAAACTCAACACTCTTTTAAAAGGCTTAGACCTGTTCTTGCTTATCGAGAACTGAATAATCTTAAAGTTGTCTCTCCTGATACTTTTAGAATGCACATCACTCTTTTAAAAGGCCTGTTCTTGCTTGTTTCGAACTGGATAACCTCAAAGTTGGATCTCCCGATACTGTATGATTGTCACTTTAGATACTGAAATGTTTCCTTTTATACACTCTCTAGACACTCTCTGATAGAGAAAATCAAGCTCCACGAAGGGAGAGTCTTCTTGAAGGGAGAGTCTTCGGAAGGGAGAAGGGAGAGTCTTCGAAAGAAGACAAGCTTCACTAAGGGAGAGTCTCTCTCCTCTCCCCTCTAATATTAAAAATTTAGAAGAAGCACAAGAGTTAAAAATATGCATGAGAAATTAAATCCATCAATTCCCTCCAAAAATACTCGTTCACAAAAGAAAATTTTTGGGGAAAAGAACAATTTGAATGACAGAACTCCTCGAAGAACTGATAAGAAGAAAACAAAGAAATTACTTCAAATAAAGGGTGCAACTGAATGCTATGATTTTGATCAAACGGTTTTTATTATTTTAAAGGCTTAAAGAATCCGAGACATCACTTGATTTCCCGTGTACCAAGGCGCTGTAAATTTCACATGGATTTCATGGGTAAATATCCCGGGGCGGTATTCAAAAAAGCGGGTAGAGGTTAACCAAAACTCAGTTGCGGGTAGGTTAACCCAGAACCCTTATTCAAAAATGGAGGTAGAGGTAACCCGCAGATGTGGGTAATCATCGAGTTCTGTGTCGATTTTTTTTGAATAAGGGTTAACCCTCAACTGAGAGTTCTATTACCCGGGTAAGAGAACCTGGTAAACTTACCATTTCCAACCCGCTTTTTTGAATTCCGCCCCCAGTTGACAAAGAGAATACCCAGATTTTTTCGGTTCAATAGTTAGATCAGAGACGATGGATGCCGTTGGACCTGATCGATAGAAAAATAAAGGCCATTTGTTTACTGGCCATCTGAAATTCCAAAAATTTCCAAAAATTCTAAAAATCGAAAAAGCTAAAGGGAATTTTTTGTATCTCAAGAGACAAAATTTCTAACCAAAATTTGATAATTTTAGGACAACGAACTGAAAAATAAACTCATAAAATTACATGAGGAGTTGAAAAAACGCAAGTTTTTGCAACGTGAAGTAAGGCAGGTTAAGGAAAACGAGGATACTTTTGAGGTTGAGGCAATACTTGGTGTTGGGTTTGATGAAATCTCCGAGCAACTACGTTTTTTGGTAACCAAGTTAAAGATATATATTTTATTCTGTCCTGGCCAGGGGAGAAGTCTTGTTCTCTATTTTGGTCTTGGTCACTCCTAATCTAGCAAATTTTGCTTAATCCTCACTAATCCACCGAAATCCCTCAAATCCCGTATATCTCTGTAATTTTATTATATCTTTTATAAATTTGAAAAAATATGGGTTCTCCTGTTAGATTTGCACTATGGAACCAAGAATTGTCTTGAGTCTTGTTAATTTTTGGTGTATAGCATTAGAGGGACATCTTGGTCTCGAGTATTTGAATCTTCGGTTATGGACATCACTATTAATTATCTCACTAAAAATAGTGAGATAATTGAGACATCGCTAATTTAATTAATCAAATTAGGTATATGGTATAGTTCATAGGTACAAGACTTTCGATTTGTTCGAACTCACAAACATCATTTGACCTATGATCTACTACACCAGTTTATATTTAAATAAATTTTAGGTAAAATGGAAGGGATACGACGATCCGAAATATAGTAATATTTTATTAATAAATTATTTTCGAAAATGTTTTATCGTATTTTAAGATTTATGGCTTCCTGAAAGTGAGGTATTGAACTTAGAATTGGCCAGAGATTTTATCAGAGAAATTGCTGAAGGTGAATTTGTTATACTTTTATTGGACAGATAATATTTTGAGAGTTACTCTCTGGTGCCTTATATCAGTCTCTAGCATGATAAATAAAAGACCAAGAAATTGTCATAGATATGGGATTTTCCTGGACCTCCCCTACCTAACTCCAGGTTTTCTATTATTATTAAGGAGCATCTCTCTATAACAACATACCTTTAGGTAATTTTCCTGAAGTATGAAGAAAGACGAGCGGGGAGATTCTCTTGTAGCTGCTTTATTTTAGTCCCATGTCATTCTATCTTTTTTAGTCTCTAGTTTGGAACTTCGACTGATAGTTTATGCCTAAAATAATCCTTTCGAAAATCGTTGAAAAGTTGCGGATGTTTAAACATAACCTTTAGAACCTTACTTTAAATTCTGAAAGATATATTTTTTCAATTCCTACTAATTAAATAAATTTAAGGTAATCGAGTAGTATACAAAGATAATTGTGGGTATTGTGGGCAACATGAAGGGCTTAAATTAAATCAAGCAATAACTTGTACAAACTGCAACAATTTGGTCCATACAATGTGTACAAAGCTTGATAATAATAAAGTAGATAAAATTTGCAATGGAAAGATGAGTTGGTTTTGTCAATTTTGCAAGAAAAAGTGATGGAAAATTTGTGTCATGATTAAAGATTCACCATTTTTTCTATAACTTTATCCATCTTATGATTGTAATGCATTGGTTATCTAATTCCTAAGGCTGTGCTAAAGGCGACAATGTAAATGGATAACCCCAACCACCGATTACTTGCACTAGCTAAGGAGAAATATAGAGTAAAGCGGTGCCTTGTTGTTTAGTCGTTGTTATAAGCAGAGTCGCGCATGCTTGCAATCATGTGTGAACTCCGATGAGTATAGAAATAGGTGAATCGCACGCAGTAGGGGAATATAGGGGGAGCTCTAGCATATACGACTCGAAGGATTGGCCGGCCGGCAACTCTGTTGGATGAATGAAGAAGTGATCTGCCTTAGCCTATTCCTTTAGAGCTTATATGCACCAGCTTACTTCTCTATCGCTTTCCCAAGGATAAGTTAGTGGCGATGTTAAGCTTAGATAATGGGCGGCTAATAACTCTCTGGGAATGGCCGTTTGTGGCGTTCTTTGACTTTTCGCTGGGAACTTCCGTTACCTAGCACAAAGTTTAGAGCGACATTATTGTTCACGTGATTTCAGGATGATCCAGCGTTACAATAGCTATAGCCCAGCTGCTTTACTTTTGTCCGATTGACTGTTGATTTCAACGTATTGAGATCTCGATGATGTGATCACATTAGAACTTCATTTCTTTTATATTTCCTATTGATATTGATAGATATGTTCAAAGAATTTTTTGGATTTTTCAATTTGTAAATAAAGATAGTATGAAGGGTTAATTATGTTTCGAACTGTATATTTTTGTTAATAAGTCCTTCATTTTTCATTCATAATGATAGGTCTTTTGTACATTTATTCAATTGTAAAAAGTACATCGAAATTTCCTTCTTATTTTAGTTACCACCCCAAACCTCCCACCATTCTTACCACCCTAAACCATCCTAAGATTCCTACCATGTTAAGATATGAAATTTGGGTCAATATTTCTATTTATTTTTGGGATATAGTTAGTTTATGCCTGAAAATCAGCGTGATACCTACAATATTTCTTTTTAATAACATCATGTATAATTGTAAAAGAGAATAGTCCAATCAATGGGACATACAAGCGAAATAAATAGTCCCAATCAATGGGACACACCCAAATTCGCGAATCCACGACGTTTCCATATTTCCAAATCCGGAATTTTATCTTTGTCAAGCATTCCCTATTACCGAATACGGTATTGCTTTACATACGCACAATACCTTATTATAGTTTTTAAAAGTAGTGTTAGAACTCAATTTATAAAAACTAATTTATCTTTATCGGGGGAATATAAGCCGATAAAATCAAAATATGGATCCGAGGGTCAACAATATCGGATCACATTTCTATTCTACAATGTATAAAATATAGAAAAAGGAATAAAAGTAGGGTACGGCAACTTTTAAAAAAATTTTCCGGCATCCCAGAATGGCATTGAGTTTCAAAAGGTCGAACGGAACGGTATCTCGCGGATTTAATCCCGTAATCAAGAAAATCCATTCTGGTTGCCTTAAAACGCGAGATTCCGTGTCGGTATCTGTATAATTCTTTTCGTGATTCATTCCGTGCCGCACTCTAATATGTATAAATAGTATGAATCAGGGTTTCATAATAAAAAGCTTCTAATTTAGCATCTAGAAAACTTTGGAGTGATTCTGAATTGAATTGACTCCTCATTTAGATAGTTTTCGGAATCCCTCATATAATGTTTAAGTCAAACGCAGAACAATGGAAATATCCTGTAATATATGATCATAATTCATGAAACCTTGATTATTTGAAAATAATCCCGAAATAAAGTATGAATCAAAAAATCTTTTCAACAACTCATTTCTTTACATATCTTCAGAACATTGGATAATATTGAATAGACAATAACATCCAACCAAGAATGAACAACATGAGGTTAAATCCAAACCAGATTGGAGCCAACCAATATCCACATTCTGTTACTGTCAATCTTGAACTGCGTGTTGGTGTGCCCGGAAAGCGTGTTGGTGTACTTGGACCGGCCTGATAGTACATACGCTTCTGACGTACAATTTTATCCAAAAATATGTTTGAAATTGAACGTTTACGGCGACGATCATCTTTCGTTTTTGGGTTGAGGCAAGAGAAGATTGAGGATAGAAAGCCTTTCTTCCTTTGCTTTCTAACTGCAGATTTTTAAAATTAATTTTACATACTTTCGAAAGCTTAAGTACAAATAGTGAGCTAAATATGCATTATTTATATCGTGATACACAAAACTTATTCCATAAGCATATTCAGATTTTCACTTTACATTTAATTTATATATACCCATCCCTTTTGGATCTAGAAATAACCTACCTCTTTGAGCTTGTCCACCATAATGGGGGGTATATGGAGATGTGTCTGCATGTTGAGGAGTACCATAAGGTGTACCGGCATGGTGTTGAGGAGTGCCCGAAGATGAAAACTGACCAGCGTGTGAGATTTCACCTAAAATCGGTAATTTATATGTATATTATGGACTTTAAAGTTGTATTGGTTCAGCGGTTATAAGAAAGAACACTTATAGTAGTTAGAAGTTTTAAAATTATAAAATCTCTTCCATCCTATGTCTGAATTCATAGATTTCGTTCTAGAATCTTATCTAAACCATTTAGGCGTTTCTTTGTGCCTTAGAAATTTAATATTTAATAACTTGAATATTTTTTCTGTAATATAAGATTATGGCTACTTGTGGAAAATTTCAAAGGCTTTTAGATAAGCCTAAAATAAAAATTCGAATCAACATATAAAGGGTCAAAAATATTTTTTTGAAGATGTGGAGCTGTCTATATTAATTAGGGATATCTATATTGGCTAACACTAATATAAGCCACAAGGTACAAAAATGTTATTAGTAAAAGTAAAAAGCTTACCAAATCCATGTAAAGGAAAAAATACAGGTGTTGCCCCGGATGTACCAGCTTGGCCGTGTGATGATTCTCCTTTCAATTTATTACAAATTATTTTATAAAAGGATCATTCTCTATACTTTTTTGGATTAAGCTGTATTCCCAATAGAGGCCCTATTATGCAATGCAACTGTCATGAGACTGACTATAAACTCCGTGGAATGAAGTAAAAAACGTGTTAGCTTTCACATTTTTTGTGTAGAATAATGGATTAAGCAGGTGATGACTTGAAATTAAAGGGGTTTAAAGGATATAGGCAGATTAGGGTGGCTCTAAATCACATCTAATCTCTAACATTGGCACTGAACCGACTTATATACAAAAGGGTCTTTTTACATGAAATAAAAGAAAAAATATGGTATTAAAATTGACAATTTGTTATGCTATCGTATATTTCAAATAAGAGTGGGGTACTATTCAGCGTGAGGCTCTAATTCAAAAGATACTGTAATTATTGTTTGATTTGGGCAATTATACGAGAGAGGGTAATTATTAATGATAAATTGCCTAGCCCCTATTTATCTTTATAAATTAAAATTACCTGGATATTGAGTTGGATAACTATGTGCTTAAACAATATTATTCTTATTTAGTACAGTAATAATTATTATAATAAAGGATTTTTATTAGAATAAATAATAATTTTCATTATAATATTTAAAAAAATTCCGAGCTTTTAATAAAAAACGGCATTTAAAATATGTACTAACCAGGACGTTGAGGAGGCATTATTTCAGCCAAGGAATATTCAAATTCTCCATCGTTTCTTGCCAAATAAAATGTTATCCAATCATCGTTACATGGTCTCATATCTTTTCCATGTCCCATATGGACTATAATACCACCACGTTCACCTTCAAATGTTGGTTGACCTTAAAAAATATTCCAGAAATTTTATTATTTTTTCTAATATCGTTTGGAGCTTTAAGAAAGCAATCTAATGCTTTGATCGCTTTGAACTGAGTCGATCTAGCGCTTTTTCTAACGCTTTGACCTGCCTATTGACACCTTCATTATTTTTATTTAATCTTGAGATAAAATTGTTATATTCTTATGGTATTCTATTATTTTCTCGGTACAGCAATTTATTGTAAAAACCTACTCAGTCTTGTTGCATATTTAAGCCAATCTTCATTTTTATTTCGGCCTTGCTAAAAATTTTTTAGGTTTGATTAAAGAAGGGTTCGAGTATACCTCCTCCAAAAAGTAAATTGTATAATCTCCATCATAATAGCATTTCTTTTCATAAAGAACGTTTTGAGCTATAGGCCACACAACATGAAACAAATGAGCTAATCCTTGAATTGTATAAAGAGCCAATGCCATCCTTCCCTGTTCGGCTTGTCTCCGTTCGCCTTTGTCATACTTGTATCCTCTGATAATTTATGTTAAGAAAGTTAAATCATTAATAAGTAAATTATACTATTTCTGTTGCGTTTTTAACCTAAGTGCCAACAATTTTCCATCCCACACCTAACTGGAGCGTCCCCAGAACGAAACAACCGGCACAGTAATTATCAGATTAATCTAGACTCGTAATTTTTACTGTAGAGTATTCCGTAACATATATAATACTGCACCTAAAGGGCCGTTTAAATGCAGCCGTTAAAGGGCCGTTCTTAATCCCTAGGCGAATTTTTAAAAATTTAAATTTTAACAAACACTGGATTGAAAATTCCTCCGTTAAGTTCGAATTTGTTTATTGATTCGTAAAAGTCGGATAACTTTTTACTAGGATCATTCATCGGGGCAAATCCAGAACGTTGAGTGCTTATAATTAGTTAACCAATATTGTTGACAATTTCAATGTCGTCCATTTTTTTATTCTTAAATCTGTTAACAAATATGCCTACGATATCCCTTGCAGAATTGACTTGATTATCAATCACATTAATGTTATCTTCTGGGTTGTAATGCTCAAGTTGCCCCAAGATTGTTGTGATAATATGCATAAATAATTCTCCAGAAGTATTTGCAAAGTGAAAAATTTGTGCAAATAAAATTCCAATCTTTTCATATTCTATGCTTACGTCAACGAGTGTATCGAAAATATTAAAATAGATACGCCAGTTGGTGCAAAAACTGAAATGTTTAGTATTCTTTTAATAGTAAATAGAGGATATCATTTAGAACCGTTAATATAGGCGAAGGAAAATTAAGAGATTTAGGATAGGGTAGCACCCCGTGCCCGAAAACCTGACGAATTTTTAGGCAGAAATCCTGACCCAAATCACGAAGGCTCTACCGTGGCAAACCCCGATCCCCGACGATTAGGGGTGCTAGCTTAGTTTGGGATTTAGAAAAAAATAAGTGAAAGTAGCGTTCAGGTATTCTGTCATTAGAGCAATAACTGCAATAGCAATGTCCTATAGCAATAACTGCCTACAGATTACCCTGCTAAAAATTAAACTTATACCTCGATCTTACTAGTGATCCTATTCGTTGCCTAATCGTCCAGCTGAATCGCCGACTCTATCGCGAGAATGGAGATATAAAGGAGCGAATATCCAGGTGGCTACCCGATACTTGAAAAATCGGAAAAATTTCGGAAAACGAACAGATCCGAAATAGGTCGAATTATATGTCATTCGAAAGAGCTCGTCGAGCTGAGTCGATTGGTGAAAAAATTTTCGTGCGGACTCATAGAGGGGCTGAGATATAGGTCCGCGAAAATCGAAAAACCATAGGGGGGACCAAGCACTTTTTTGGGGTGAAAATTTCGAAAATGCAAATAATAGCTTTTCGAAAGAGCTCGTCGAGCTGAGTCGAATGACACCAAAATCAACTCGAGATCTTAATTCTGAGCCGAGATAGAGGCTCAAAATGGTCAACGTAAACCTATGGGGCGTAGGCGAGGCGCTTGTGCAAAACCCCGCGCTTCGCGCGGGGTTTTGCGGCACGCGCCTCGCGGGGAGTCTACGGGCGATGGGTTCTGGGCTCGTAACTTAATCCTATTCCAATTATCGCTGTAATGGGTTATCTGGCTTCCTCCGTAGCAGGAAAAACCTCGACGGATACCAAAGGTAAGGAGCTAAAACAAACGATCATAACTTTGTCAAATCAAGTCAGATTTCGTTGATTTTGGTGTCATTCGACTCAGCTCGACGAGCTCTTTCGAATGAGGTATAATATGCATTTTCGAATTTTTCACCCCAAAAAAGTGCTTGGTCCCCCTATGGTTTTTCGATTTTTGCGGACCTATATCTCAGCTCCTCTATGAGTCCGCACGAAAATTTTTTCACCATTCGACATAACTCGACGAGCTCTTTCGAATGACATATAATTTGACCTATTTCGGATCTGTTCGTTTTCCGAAATTATACCGAAAAATCATTTGTAAAATTTAAGTATACTTAGTCTTATTTCCATCAGGGCACATAGATAATGCCCAATTATAAAATCGAATGAAAAATCCATTCAATCCAAAACTTCCTCCAACATATTGTGGAAGGCTTTGATAGTCGATTTGATCAAAATCAGTGAAAAATCGAGATGATCCTTTAAAATAAATGCTAGAAATGCTGTTATAAAATATCCCCCAAAAATTATCCTTCTTAGTCCACACCAGGGCTGGCCCTCTCTATAAATTTTACCAAGTTCGAAGCTTCGTCGAAAAACTTTTTTATAAAATTCGCCGATCTCTGATTCATTCACAAGGAATTTATTTATATTATAAGGAGCTCCCTCAATTTTTGTATGACCAAAACGATCTTGTATCCTTTTCACATTAAATGAAAGCATTGTCGCCCAACGAAGGTTGTCTTCGACTTGTTTTATCTCAGAATAATTGGTTAACATTTTGTTGTTAATTGCTATTAGACTATAAAATGGATTTAAATTTTTGTTTTTCTACATTCTTTTCCATTATCCAACAAAGTAAAATCAACGTAAACACATGATTTGACAGATGTAGAATCTGGATCAACTAGAGCCCTTACCGTGAGTCACCAGCTAGTGATAGGCATATGTATTTTTTCAATACCAATACCTGGAGTACCGAAAAAATCGAGTCAATACTTTCGATAGTACAGTGGTAGCAGTATGGTGAGTGTGCTTAAAATTGACACCAACTGTACCTAACATTATCACCAAGAGATGATCACGAACTTCGGAACCTATGCCAACGTTGAGATGGATTAACCATTATTTCTATTTATATGGGTTCACTCAATACAAGTCCTATATAGAGATTCATTTATCAATTCGGTTAAGTCATCCTTGTATATGGAACTGGAACTGAACTGTGTGGAACTGGAACTGAACAAAGGGGAATTTCAGCTCCAGTACCCTTTGTCCTACCCATCCCCAATGTCCAATCCTACTTGATCAATCACAATAGTTAATATCAAGATATTAAATGGACATGTTCGTTGTATTTTATTAGAGAAATAATACCTGCATCCTGCTAGATAAAGCAAATAATGCATAGCAAAAGTTTCGTCTTGACTCATCTCTTGATTTACTACCATATAATGAAGTTCTCGAGTATTAGAGAACCATGCAGGATCACATGAATCTTCCCATGGTAATGGATCTCGAGCTCTCATTGATTTAAGAATATTAAACTCTCTTATGCTGTTCCAATTTTTGATCGAATCAATATTGCCGTTGGTCTATACAAAATTAGCAAGATTATTTAATCATGATAAATTAATATGGCGTTAAGTTAAGGATTTCGTTAGAAGGATATTATAAAAAGCTTTGTATCTAAATAAGGGATATGCACATTTTGTGCCTATGCGAAAGCCCTATGATGAATTATAGAGGTATGAGGGATATTACTATTCGTTCTATAAATATTACAAAATGCAAAAGTCATATAATGGTCAATAATTATTAAAATATTTTCTATCAGAGCAAAAACTTACGTATGTAAAACCTCCATTCCACTTGTCTGATCCGAAATAAAAGCGATCATTGAGGAAGGTTTTAACATCCTTTTCTTTAAAGTATTTTCCGAACTTAAATTCGTTAGGATTGAATACTTCCATTAGTAATTGTTCGAGATTAAAGTTGGTTGGATTTAATACTTCAATTAATTGGCGAATAAGTCGTAGCTCCTTAAATTTTCAAAATTTTTTCGTACTTTTTTAAATTGGTTATTCCCAAATGTTTTTGACATGAAGAATTACATCGATACAGTATACCCCTATATTTTAAAACTAAGGATAAAAATATGTAAAAGGATGTGCCTACATTAGTGTGGAGCACATCAGTTAACGAATTCGAGGGATCCCGATCACTGCAATCCCGTACTTATTTTGATATCCGGGATGCTGTATGGAAAATAATTCTTGAAAATTCCGTTTGCCTATCTCAAACATTAATATGCAGAAATCAAAGTATTCCGCATGCGGATGCTGAATGCTGTTTGCTTTTTTGCGGGACAGCATCCTGCACTTCGTCAATTCATTTTCAATTAAATAATTTATGGATAAATAATTTATGGAGCTCTAAGGTAACTTTTAAAAATAAAATAAATCCAGTATAAAATTTATAAGACGATAAGGCTTCTTAGGATTCGTAAACTGGACACTAGCCTTTTAATTAATGTTAAATATACTAAACAAATGCTGTAAAAACATTAAAATTTATTAATACCTCAGTTTTTTGCGTAGAAGCTAACAATAAGATTAGAAATCTAACACTATCATTTATTCGTACTTCCCGAAAATTTGGATCAGCCAACATCACCGTCAATTCATTTGCAATAAACAGCGGCTTTGTAAGCATGAATGCATAGAGGAATTCACGTGCGCGATATTCCATGTAGGAACTATCTTAAATAAAAAAATCTGTATGCTTGCCCAACTTTGGGAATATTCAGAGTTTAGTTAAAAATATCGAAATCAGCTGTTCGAAATTTCATTTTCTACTGTAAAGCATATAGCTATTTAATTCCTAAGGCTGTATAGTAGGTGGCATTGTGTAATGGCTAACAAATAAGTCCGGTCTACTGAAGATGCTGGTTCGCTCCCAGCCGCCGATTGACCTTTTGCACTAGCTAAAGGAGAGAAATAGCTATAGCTCAGCTGTTTTCTCTTCTTACAATCTTCAAGAGTTTTTCCCGTCTATACTAAATTTCAAAGAGATATATTAATTGAATATCGACAAGATAAAAAGTTTAAAATGGTTATAATCTTAAAACGAGTGTTTACATAAAAGGGGTGGGCCGGGTTGAGAAAAAAGTCGTGTTGAGTTGCCAAAATTTTCTTAGGATCGGGGTTCTTAATTTTAGGGTCTCTGGTCCACGAGGTCTCTGGTCCAGGTTTTTAGGGTCACTGGTCCAGGGTCTCTGGTCCAGGGTTTAGGGTCTCTGGTCCAGGATGTTTCGAGTTTTCCAGTTAGGGTTTCGGCTATCCCGGCCCATCTTGAGTGTATAATTTTTCCTGTTTTGGGTCTCTGATCAGGCTTCAAGTTTTCCAGTTCGGGTTTCGTATCCCGACCCATCCTTGGTGTATAATTTTCATAATCTAACACCTTCTATATTGTATGGATCAACGTTGACTTTGATTCTTCCTTCATATATTTTCGTCACGCATGTTATATAATCACTGGCATATGTCAGCATCTCCATATTTACATTGTAATAGAAGAGATTGTGATTAAATGGTTGATCAGGCTTGATCTTAAAAAATTTTACAGATAAATTTTGATCTTCAGTTCTTTTAGACTATCTAAAGGGCTTCTAAAATTTGCTCAATACAAAAGAATTTTTTTCAATTTTCATACTTCTATTCTTAAAGATGATCCAATATCACTATTATCGGTTTGAAATTTTGCCGATGTCTAAATATTAGCAAGATGGAAGAAACCGACTTTATTAGTCACCAGTCATGGATTCATAAACTTTTGGGTGGACTTATAAGCTTTTATTTCGGCGAAACTTTGATTAGATTCATAACCTTTATTAGACTTTTAAACTCGACCATAGCCGAAATTTTTATGTAATAATGTTTTAAAAGTTAAAAGAGATTTATTTCAATCCAATCGGAACTTAAATAATTTCAAGTGAATCTATAATTATGAAGCAGCTTTGTTATTTAATTTAGGCATTAACTTGGGCTTTTAAAAGCTGCTAGATCAAAAGTTTATTTTAAAGATTATTTATTTTAATCATCTTACATATCCTTTCTCAATACAATAGTCAAGAATCCCTCCAACTCGAAAATGATCGTCGTAGAGTGAAAGGCCGTTGAACAGGTGTAAGAGAGCATCGTCAATTTTTTTGTTATTTGGATGAATATCTTCTAAACTAGCTTCCAAGAATTGCTTGACTTGGGTTCGCATTGCGTTGTTGAAGTTTGGAGGTCCTTGGCATGAGGAGTTTTTGAAAATTAGCAGGAAAAAGAAAATTAAAAGGAGGATGCATCGGGGCATGTTTGGGGAGAAATGAGAGGATTTGTTCCTCATTTTCAATTTTTATTTTTGGGGCAAAGTGAATTTATGTTGAATATGGCTATTTTGAGCAGGCTTATATTTCAAAAATTTTAGTGGGTGGAAAATTTTAGTGGGAGGAGACGATCATGGGGAGGATATGGAGAGGGGGGGGTTAAGGAGGTAGGGGCATGAATTAATAAAAAAAATCTTACAAAATCGTACAAATTTTAAAAATTTTAGTGGGAGGAGACGATCATGGGAAGGATATGGAGAAGGGAGGGCCAAGGAGGTAGGGGCATGAATTAACGTGAAGGGCATGAATTAATGGAAAAATCTTACAAAAATGTACAATTTTAAAAATTTATAGAGGGAGGAGACGATCAGCGGGAGGATAGGAGAGGGGGAGGGCCAAGGAGGTAGGGGCATTAATTAACGTGAAAGGCTTAAATTAATGGACAAATCTCACAAAAATGTACAAATTTAAAAAATTTTAAAGGAATGAGATGCGATGGGGTCTATTTGCCCTTGAATAATCATAAGGCGAGATAAAAGCAAGAGAAAGCGCTTGAATTGATGGGCAAAAGTTTACAAAAATGTACAAATTTTAAAAATTTTAGAGGAATGAGATGCGATGGGGGTGTGTGGGTTAAAGCCTAGACGAGGCGAGATTAATATATTTCCCGTGGATTTTCTCTATTTACCCTTAAATAATCATAAGGTGAGATAATTGCAAGGGAAAAGCTCTTGAATTGATGGACAAAAGTTGACAAAAATGTACAATTTTAAAAATTTTAGAGGGAGGAAAAGCCGATGGGGAGAGAGTGGGTTGAGGGAGCTGATGAGTTGGCTGGTAATAATTTTTTTTAATAAAGGGCAAGAATTGGTTGATTTAATTTTGGCCAAAAATGTATAAATATATACGAGAATATACTAGTAATTGATTGGCCATAATTAAATGAAAAATTTTTTAAAATTTAAAAATTATATTAATATAATAAATTTATTAACGGCATTATAAAGATTACCGTAAACCGTTGAATGACGATATGTGAGGGGCATGGTCCTAACCGTGTATACCTAATATTATATACCTTGTTAAATTTCTACGTGGAAGTGTTGTGTAGTGGTATCGCTATAGTATAAAAGCCAGTGAAAGCGTCAGTCTAGGGGGAATCATACTAGCGCGGCTAGTCCCTGATTCCCGTCGTCTGTTCCAGCCCTTTTACCTTCGCCTACATTGTTTATTTCTACACCGGATAAATTGTATTGTTGTGCACGTCAACATTCAGTCAAATCTCGGACACCTCCGGACGTAACAGGAAGGAATTGAATCCATAACTTAAGAGGTCACTGATCAATGTGGCTCCAAGAGCCTAGTGAAGCTTTTGAGATTTCCTCTTAGGGGCGGATATGTGAGG